CTCCTATCATCTGCCAATAATGATAGTTGGTTGTGTCTTTTTCAATCCTATTAACTTTATTTCTTTATCTTGCTTTTACCTAGCATTGGCTAGGATTACTAGAAAAATTCTGTATTGCAATGGTGATAGCAAATATCCTTGTCTTGTTCTTGAAAAAGTATTCTTAATCTAGAATAAGAAAAAGAAGGAAAAGAACAAGAAGGAAAGCTTTCAACATTTTACTACCATAATTTATGTTTTCTATAGATATTTTATATCACATTAAGGAAGTTCCTCCCTGAATTTCATTTTCTAAGATTTTTTTAAAAACCAGAAATAATACATGTTGAATTTTATTAAATGATTTCCTTGCACTTATTGCAATGATCATATGATAATTTTCTTTTAATCTGTATTATGTAGTTTTTTACATGTTAACAAACCTTGCATTTCTAGAATAAATGAAGTTGGTCATAATAAATAATTATTTTATCTATTGCTGAATTGATTTGCTGATATTTTGTTGAAGATTTTTCCACTTATGATGAGAGGAAATGATGTGTATATACCCTTTTTCATACTATTTTGATATTGAGATTATATGGTCCTTATGAGTCGGGAATGTTACCTCTTCAATTCTTAAAAAAAACTTATATAAGATTAGACATATTTCTTCCTTGAGTTTGCCTGTGAAGCCATTTGGGTCTGGAATTTGTTTTGTAGGATGATATTTGATTACTGAATTACATTTCCTTTATGGTTATAGAACTATTTCTTTTTCAGTAAATTTTGCCATTATATTTTTCTAGAAATTTTTCCATACATCCAACTCTTCATATTTACTAACAAAGTTATTCAGACTATTTCTCATTAGCTGTTTCGTATCTGCACATCTGTTATGATGTCTCCTTTTTCAATCCTGATATTGTTTATAAGTTCCTCATCACTTGCTTTCTTGCTTTATCTCAATAGAGGTTTGGAAAATTTATTCGTCTTTTCCAATAATCAATTTTTGGCTTTCTTAGGCCTCTCTGTTATATAACTACTTTCCACTTGTTTATTTTGTTCTTACCTCAATTAATTTCTTTCTTCTTCTACTTTCAATTTATTTTGGAGTTTGCTTTGTAATTTCTTGAGATGAATTCTTGCCTACTTCTTCATTTTTATAATACATTTGTTTAGGTTATAATTTCCCAGTAAATGCTTCTTATAGGCATTCAACAATTGTTATATGTAGGATGTTGATTATTGTTTAGTTTGAGATATTTCTAATTTCCATTGTTATTTCTTTTTAATTGTGAAACTACATTTCTAGCTTTATTTATATTGTTTGCTTAATTTCATTATGGTACAATTTCAGTTATTTGAAAATGGCTGAGACTTGATTTACTAAGTCTTTTTTATTGACTTAGAATATGGTCAATTTTTGTAATTGTTCCGTGTGTGCTTGAAAATAATGTGAATTTTACAACTATATGCAAGGTTCTACCTATGTCCATGAGGTCAAGTTTCTTCAGCTTGTCTTTCAGAAATAAATTCTTACCAATTTTTCTCTCTATTTTATTTCAATCAATTACTAAGAGAAATGAGTCATTATCACTGCTGTTATGTATTTATTTCTCCTTGTTGTCCTGCCAATTTTCCTTAATATATTTTGAGGTTATATTATTTGAGACATTTAGATTTAAAATTATTCTATCTTCCTATTGGATCGAAACATTAATCATTTATAAAGTGAATCTTATCTCCTGCAATGGTTAGGGCTTTAAAGTCTATTTTACTTAATGGCTTATAAACACTAATTACACCTATGTCCATGTAGTATTTGCACGATATAGTTACCTTTCCACTATTATTTACCTTTTACACATGAGGAATCTGAGGCACAGTGGTTAAGGAACAAGCCCAACAATAAACGGTGTGGTGGGTAGTACAGTCAGGAGTTGAACTCAAACCATTTGTCTATGCTTCTAAACATTACACTTCTAAGTTCAAAGAGTAAAGTCAGTTTAGGTTCAGGAAGGAAAAATGCTTTCACTCTAATTTCCACAAAGATTTGTTTTCACAGATTGCTATCTGATTGTGATTTCTCACTTAGCTTAAATTCTCACTCCTCTAATATTTTAAGGTCACAAGAACACTTTTAAAAATACTTTTAAAAAGAAGGAAAAATATTCTTAATCTAGTACTGCTCTACTCAACCTCTTCCGCTTATACAGAAGAAAAAGAAGTCTGTTAAGGTTTGCATGTTGCCTTTGAAATTGACATGTGTACCAGAAACCTTCATGTGCTGGTCCCATCCCTCTGAACTGCAGCACAGTGCCTCAAACTACCCTACCCCAAAAGAGGCAGTCAGGCTGCAATAGGATCAAGATTTCTAAAGTGGTTGTGTGGCTCTACTGAGCAGCAAATCTCATTCCAACCTGACTTCAGGAAAAACAGCCAAAAAGGATGGGTAGGTAGACTGTTTCATCTCTCCTTGAATAGGCATAAATAAAGTATTTTAACAAACAGAGGCACTGAGCAACTTATGTACACCTTCTGGAATCCCATACCTTTCGTATTTCTCAAATCTTAATTTTAAATCATACTAGTGTAAAGAAAAATTGTAAACTATGAGGAAAATTAAAACTTCTCATGATTCCATGATTCTAAGCTATTTTTTTATTTGATATACTTACTTTTAGGTCTTTTTTTTTTCTGTTTTTACATGAATATATATGTACATGTGGATGTGGATGTGTGTGTGCATGTGTGTATGTATGTAAACACAAACTTGAAAATACCCTGTATCGTTAGTGTAGATTCTGACCTGTTTCAGTTGACATTGCATTGTGCATAATTTCATGTCTTTAAAAATTCTTTAAAAATAATTTATTGCCTACATAATATCTTATCATATGAATGTACTCAAACTTATCTCACCACTGCTCTGTTGCTGAACAGTTTAGTCAATCTCCAATTCTTCTAATTATAAATATATAAAAATGAACATATTTGCATAAATTTTGTCTCCTCCTTTAATTATTTCATTAAGTTAGATTCTTGGAAGTGAAACTGTAAGATACTGCCGGTTAGGCCCTAATATCCATTCTCCTATTCTTTCACTGTAAGAACTTCACCAAATTTATATTCCAGGATAGAAACTTATAATGTGTAACAGCTCTTTACATTTGATGTTTCCCACATTTATTAGAAATAGTAGTCCCATTTTGTCATTTGCCTTGTAATTTTATTTATACTGGTTTTTTACTTGTGAAACTAGAGAAGTTTGATGTTTACAATAATTCATTTGTGACTTATCCTATTTTTGTTAGCACAAAAAACCCATTATTCACTATATCTTCTTTTATATATTATTTCACATGTCTGTAAATATATGAAGCCTATTTATGGATATTTTATTTATTTTTTTGAGACAGAGTCTCACTCTGTTGCCCAGGCTAGAGTGCCGTGGCATCAGCCTAGCTCACAGCAACCTCAAACTCCTGGGCTCAAGCAATCCTCCTGCCTCAGCCTCCAGAGTAGCTGGGACTACAGGCATGCACCACCATGTCTGGCTAATTTTTTTCTATATATATTTTTAGTTGGCCAATTAATTTCTCTCTTATAGTAGAGACGGGGTCTCACTCTTGCTCAGGCTGGTCTCGAACTCCTGACCTCTAGCAATCCTCCCATCTCGGCCTCCTAGAGTGCTAGGACTACAGGTGTGAGCCACTGAGCCCGGCCCTATTTATGGATATTTTAATAACATTATTTAGGATTTTAACGAGTTAGTTTTTAAAGAAGGTAATGACTACCATTGGTTCTAAGGATTTTCACAAATATACTTGTATCTTGAAGTGCTAGAGACATAAGTCATAAAACTTTAAGAGCAGATTACTGAATAAATAAGTTTTAGGTCACTATGCAAGAAAACCACTTTTTCATTATGCTTTTTAGTTATCAACAAAAGATTTCTTTTTCGACCTTACTAAAGATAAACCTGTTCTCAACAGCAAAATCCCTCACCTCCAGCCTTTTCTGCAGTTAGACACACTGCAAAAACCGTAGTTAGCCAAGGGACTGATTATAAAAGGATTTCTTTTTTTTTTTTTTTTGAGACAGAGTCTCGCTTTGTTGTCCAGGCTAGAGTGAGTGCCGTGGCATCAGCCTAGCTCCTGGGCTCGAGGGATCCTTCTGCCTCAGCCTCCCGAGTAGCTGGGACTACAGGCATGCGCCACCATGCCGGCTAATTTTTATTACATATCAGTTGGCCAATTAATTTCTTTCTATTTATAGTAGAGACGGGGTCTCGCTCTTGCTCAGGCTGGTTTTGAACTCCTGACCTTGAGCAATCCGCCCACCTCGGCCTCCTAGAGAGCTAGGATTACAGGCGTGAGCCACCGCGCCCGGCCATATAAAAGGATTTTCAACACAAGGTCTATGGTCAAACTTTCAGTTCCTGTTCCCAAGAGTATAACTTTTTTGAAAAGACAAACTATTTCATAAATACACAGATAGATGCCCACAAAATGTTTCTGCCGATAAACTGGAATGTATTTGTTTGGTCTCAGCAAAAAGGCATTTTTTGTATGTGTTAACAGAAACATACTCTGGAATACTTAATAGTCCATAGAAATTTTTCTCAGATGTATGACCTATCCATTGTAACCCAAAATATTTCTTTTGCAGCAACAACAAAAAAGAAGCAACAAATGTTTTCTAAAACATTTTTCGGTGGAGAAAAAAAAAAAAAAGCTTTCACAACTTCAAAAAAAAAGTGTATCTCATTAAGAGAATGAAAAGAAAAGAAATGTTGCTATCATCTGCCAGTTTAGAGAGATTACCTTCATAATGAGTCTCAAAATTATAATTATATTCATCTGAATATAAAAGACTACAGTTTTTGCTCCTATATGCATACATTTTATATATTTTATTTCTAAATTAAAAATAAGAGAAGGCATAGAAACTTTGATTTTTGTGAAATAGCAAATTGATTTTCCAAAAAGTGTGTATTATGTATTTTATGAACATACCTTTTTCCTACCCAGTGCGGTGCCAAAATTCTCTGTTCAGCTTTCAGAATCTTCCAGACAGATTCAAACAGGAATCATGTCATCAGTAAGAGGAATGCTGGAAAAATAAAAGTAGACCATGAACAGTGCATTGTTTTACTTACTAAATATATGAATGTATGACTTTTGGAAGTAGGACATGCCTAAGGCTTTCCAAATAAATTTATAATTAAACTATGGAACATATAAGCAATATTTATGTACGTAAATGTATGCATTTAATTTACATTAATAAATATAATAAAATTATGGTTCAGGAAGAAGAGGCATTATCTAAAAACTCAGAAGTTATTCATTCGGTCTAATTTTCATGTCACTATCCTATAGATGTTTTAGGACAGGCTACGCTACAATAAATTCTTGTTTCTTGAAATGATTTGTGAGAGGTCTTCAGGTGTTCTCTTAGGTCTCTTCCTTGATTCCATTTGAATGTATGACAGCAATAATCAACACAGTAATTGTTGAGGTGGAGTCATTCAGCTATGTCTCCACTCATATCCCTTTTTACGTATTTCTGTGATTGCATTGCCCGGCTTAACTTTAGAAATACTGCTCCTGCCACTGTCAGGAGTGAATAAAACTCTGCCTTTGGTACCAATTTCCCCAGCCTGGACAAAAAAGGCCCCTGAGAGGCAGTAAAGATTCCAGAGAATGAGAATGATGAAAGCAGGGAATACTTATACAGTGGGAGCCACAGCCCTGGTTGGGGCTCTATCCACTATCAGTTCTACTAGAGGAAAAGTGAGTAATGTTTTAGTGCTCATTTTTATAACATCATCAATGTTGATGGTATTTTAGTAGTTTTATTATCATATTTTATCTTATCTTCATGGCGCATGATTGGTACAGAGGGATTTCACTTCATTCTAATATCTGAACTTTTGTTAATAAACACAGAAATTCAAAAGACACTCCATTGACAAAAAAAAAAAGGATCCAGATTATTTCATCAGTATATGAATCACTCCCTTAAAGAATATTCCAAAATGAGAAAAGCCATCATTAGAAACTTTGAACATCAGAAATTATGTTGCTGAAGTAAAATAAAGAATGTCTATACAGAGCAAATTTTTAGAAATTTTATTTCCATTAAAAATTTTACTTAAAAATAATATCACAGACTCTACTTTTTTTTTCCAGTTAGGTGAAATATCACATCTAAAAGAATACCACAGTTGAGCTTACTTAAAAAATGAAACAGTGAAATTTTGCCATTTTTCCATATTTGGGTGACACTGAAATTCACAGGTGGTAATTTTACCCACAAGAGGGAGCCTGTATTTTTATATTTTTGTTATAGAACTTGAAAAAACTTGAATTAAAATATAAAATTCTAAAAATGTTTGTTGATATCAACATCTTTCTGTCAGGTCAAGTTTTAAGGTAATCACATTTCAGTTGGCATATTGTTCTTCAATCATAACATCACTATGGTAAAAGATTGGAAAGATAATTGGAACCAAAAAAATTTTTTTACCTATATTATAATTAGGTTTTTTCAGATATAAGAATGAAGATGTAGTTGCCAAAGCAGCCTAGGAGAAAATTCCTTTTAGGCGGTAGCAACATTAGTTGTGTGAAATTGACTAGAATTATGACAGCTTTGCACCTAAATTTAATTACATAGTGGTGAAATGATATTTCAGTCATCTCTCATCATAAAAGGGGCTTGCACAAACCAATAATTTTCTACATATTTATGACACAGGAAACACCCTACTTTAAATATTACTAAGATCTCTAATGTCATTAACATCACTTAAAACTTGCCTAATAAATGTTACAATTGTAATGATACCATAGTGAACTTTCCTTCTTAGGACTAGGAGGGAAAAAAAAATCTTTTTTCTTAAAAAAAAAAAAAAAAGAAAAATTGAAGCTCCATCCCTTCCTATTCTGTAATCTCCCTAAATAATACCTTAAGTTGCTAAGACTCTCTAAATAAATAAATATGTCTGGGTTTTGTAAAAATGAAATGATTTCATCAACTTAAAAACTACCTTCTAAAAAAATAATTTTGCCAACTCTTATCAACCCAGAATGATCTGTTCTATCACATTCAGAGACACAGTAATAACCGAGCTGAAATTTGTTTTCTGACCCCCTGTAAACTGCAGGGAAGACAGATGATAAGAGTTCTGTCCCTTTCTCCCAGAGTCCTTGTCTCAGCTTCTAGAATACATTATATAACACAGGCAGGGAGTTGAGGAAAGGGTTAACTGCTGCTCTTCTTTCTGGAATTTCCAACCTACCCATTAAATCATTGTTTTTTCTCCCACTAGGGACTGTGAATCTAATGGACCTAAAATCAATACCTTATAAATGACATAAAAAATATATTCATTTTATGGACTAATGTACCCTAGTGTCTGAATCCTATTTACACCCTCTGCTTTAAAAAGGAACGACAGACCCATTTCTGCCAGTAAAAGGTTACTCAGTCACTCTGGTGACATGCCGCAGAAAGCACTGTCATACTAAAGTGCAGCACGAGGGAAAGATTGGTAGCTGCAAAAACACTATTGCAGAAACTTTACACATGGTGCGGTGAACTTGCTTTAACAAACACAATTAGGGAGGAGGGTGCAGGTACCTTCCAAGATGTTAGCCATGTTTGGAGGTGGTTTTAAAGTTCTCTGTTTCATTATCTTGTTTCATAACATGTATATGGTATGAAATGTTGAGCATATCAAATATCACATACTGGTATTTTAGAAACAAGCACAACTTCCACTTAATAGTGAATTCTATAATGATTGAAGAAAACTGCATTAAAAAATCCTAAGAGGCAGAAATGCTCACTAACATATCAGCCAAATAGACATAGTGTGACATCAAGCCACATTGAACTACAGGCAGAAGCAAGCTCTGGGGAGACGGAGGGCAATTCATTGAACAGATTCAACAGGGAAACAACCAAAAAAGGTTAACTATCTCTTGGTCTTTTATCATATTGAGAAAATATGCCAATGAGAAGGTTTTATATTTACAAAATATTCTCCAAACCAAGGACCAACCTACTTACTTAAAAAGCCATTCTTATTACTTGAAAGTATTATGCTTACTTAAAAAAAAAAAAAACCCACCTCACTTTATATAAGTAACTTTATTTTGAGAATATCTTCTTCTACATTTAATACTTTAAAGACATCAAATATAGAGCAACTCTGTAAAATGCAATGATACCTTCAATGCAGAGATGAAAGTATGAAAAAAAGAGAGAGAAGAAAACTAAAAACTGAAGACCTTTTCTCTTTGGAAAAATATCACTTGACTTACTTTTTGTTTCAATGGGCACAAATCTAAATAGTCAGAGAATAATGAATAAGAAAAGCAACTTTAAAACATCTAGCAACAGGTCACCATGAGATTTCCTGTTCAGTTTTACTGGCTTAAAATCCATATAGTTATAAAACAAAATTACAAAAACAAAACAAAACAAAACAAAAAAACACCAAAAAACAACAACAACAAAAAAAACCAGTTGTTCTTTATTCCATTTGCTAAGCAGAGTCATTTATCCCCTATTAGATAAAGTATAATAGACTCTACGGAAAGGGTCATTGGCCTTCCATTTAATGATATTGCCAGCCCCAATCTGCATTTTCCCGGCAATGTCCCTCAACACAGAATAAATGGCTGATCTCTTCACAATAACAGCTGATTTCTATTTATTAAGCTAAAAAGGTCACCATTTTCTACGGCTGGGCCGCCCTGCACTATTGATAATTTTATGCATAAACAAATGGCAAATTTGTGCCACATAAATATGCATTAGCAATTACTTTTTCCTCGGGCAACGCTCACCGCATGCAAATGTGTACCTCGCAGGGCCTGGTAGCTTTTGTTTTAGCTCTTGAACAGTGAAACAAAAGAGCACAATAAACAATTTTTAAATTGCCAATCAATAAGCAATGCAAATGCAAAAAGGTAAATGGCAAGAAACTTGCTCAGAAACAAAACAAAAGTGAAGTGGGAGGGGGGATGGGGGAAGGATTTTGTTTTTTATATTATTTCATTTCTTTCCCTTTGATAATGAAAAGGCTAAAGTACTCTTGACACAGAACAGCTAGCTAGGCTGGTACCAAAGCAGATGCCAGATGGGGAAAGTAGAAAACATACACATGTTGAGTAAACACACACACTCATCCCAAAAAGGGGGTAAGGGAGAAACTGTGCTCCTATATGTGATTTCGGAGGTATCGCCTACTCAAAATTGCTGATTTTCAATTTCAGGCATTCAAAGGATTTTAAATCTGAGAGTTGCTACAGAGATCCGTAACCAAATCTTGATTCCATAGCATTTCGCTATGCTGTTGCTTCCTAATGTCACCTTCCTCCAAAAAAAGGAATAGACATGGTCAATAAACATGATATCTTTTAGGAACACAAGGAAAAGGGGTAAATGGAATATCTAAATAAGAAATAAAAAGCATCTCACCAAATGTTTAGGACTAAAAGCCCTGATCTCAAAACACTTCAAGAATGGTGTCAGGTGTAAGGACAGAGAGATAAAGGGCTAGTAAGGAAAGAAGCAACAGGCATAAGAGAAAGCCTAGGGAAAAAAAAACAAAAAAAACAGTGCGATGTAATGTGACCAGGAAAGTGAATAATAATAAATCAAGAAAACCTCCGGCTCCTCCTGAAGACAAAGGCAGGCACCCCAACAATTGCCACACCTGGGGGAGGAGGGGACACCCTACCAATCTACCAATCAGAACTTAGTGTGCCAACTGCAAAAGAATGCAGAGGATTCCCCAGCCCATGGGCCAAGCAACACAGGTACAATAAGGTCTAAAAGGCGACCTAGAATAATCTAAAGTTAATTATCATGTTATTAGCTTAAATCTATATTGCAGTTCACTCCTCCCCGCCATGGGCTTTCAGAAAGGCTCGTGGAAACTCAGCATGTGCAGTAAGACTCGGGTTCTATGACTCCCAACTGTCCATCAAAGTGGTTGATGGTGACATTTGAACCACGAGCAGGGCTCAGCCGAAACGCCATAAAACATGACCCCAGACCATTACCAAGGCCCTTTTTGTTACAACAGGGGGTCT